CAACCTTTGCGGCGGTGCAGATGCCCTGGCGCTCCGTCGTGGTTCTGGAACAGGTGGTGTCGACTCTGCAGTACTTTGGTCTTCTTCTTCATCGCTATCGTCGTTAGTTTCTTCGTTAGATTCTGCTATACCAGGCTGGTAGATTGTCGTGTTTGGCACAGGAAACGGATCGCGCCTGGGTCGGCTACCTCCCGGACAAATTTGTGGAGAGACTCCGCCGTTTCGTCGTTGTCGTGATTGGGAAGCCGAACCCATCACGGTACTCTGGCAGCCCCCAAACGACTTGATGGGGTGCTTCCCCCACGCGTCGACGCATCTCTAGCCGGGTTTCAGAGTGGGGGTGATCAGATGGAGGGTGACTGCCCTTCTTGCTATCCCCGACCGCGCATACGCTGCAGTCACCTGACTCGATGTTGTGATGGAGCTTTACTCCAGTGGTATCCATTTCCGCCAGCTGCTGCAGTGCACGCGGATTGCAGTGGCCCATCCTCCGGTGCCACAGGTGAGCGTCGACCTTGGTGCGATACACTCCTACATCGTCCATGTTGAGATCGTCAATGATTACGTTTATCACGTACATGCGAGGCACAGCGATTGATATCGGAAAGACCTGGTCGTCGCGTCGGAGCGCCGGAGGGATAGACATTAAATCGCACTTAACCCCCTTTTCGGCCAACGCTCCAACCGACAGAATATTCGCTCCTAGATTACNTATACTCGTAGCATAGCATGGGGGTGGTATATTGCGTATACATATGCGGGATTTGCAGTGACGAACTACGGAGGAACAAGAAGTTTCTTCATGTTTTTCTTGGGAGTGTGGTAGATTGGTGGACATTCATGGAGATTCGTTTTGGGTGTTTGAGCGTTATGCGTGACTTGATGCCGTGATGGAATGACGAGCTCAAGCACGCCCCCGATGAATACAACACGTATACAACACGTTTTCCAGCACGTCTGTACGACTTTACCTGCCCCTACGGCCCGTCATGGCCGAGCTGCTCTACACTCCCATCACACACAACTGAGCCACCCGAATTATCGATCATCACCATCCTTCGACTCCTTGTCCACTTGAAACACGCTAGTGTACCTTACCAGCTCTGTCACTTTCTCGGCCGGAGAGTCAGGAGGGGTAGTGAGATCGAGGTCCGTCGCTGCCGCAGGCTCCGCGAATTCCTGCAGGTCGTCAGTGGCGCGCACATTCGGCAGCGCCGACTCGGGCACATCGTGCGTCTGCTCATCTCCAGCAGCGCACTCCCATACTTGCGGATCATATATTACGACTCCGTCCGGCAGCGCCGGTGCAGCCGCGTCTTGCTCCTGGTCACCAGCAGCAGCGCGCTCCCTCGGCAACGCCACAGCAGGGGCGTTCAGCTCCTGCTTGTCGTTATCGAAGACTATGGCGAAATCTTCACGCTCATCGTCCGCCGCCTCC